ATGTACATAGAAACAACTTTTAAGAATATTATCTTGTAAACCAACGCCCCATTGAAGTTGTACCATGCTCGTAATTTGTGAATTTATCCTGATTACTGCCTCTTTCCTGTACTTAGAAAGCTTCAGCGAATCTGTAAGCACACTTTAAGATTGTTTTTGTTTCACTATTATTAAATTAATAATTGGTTAATTGGGGTAAGATTACGCGTAAATATTTAATAATGCATTGAAGTTTAAATAAATAAACGTGGTCACAAGGCCTCACTTTAGCACATAAAAAAATAAAAATCTAAATAAAAATATATTAATAAAATTCAAAAAATACGAAAGAGGCTATGTCACATGTCCAACATACGATTGGACGGCATTTGCAATATTTAAAATTAATATTAATAATTATAATTCACAATTTCCTTATTAAGAAGGATCCGCTGGTTCGTGGTTCAAAAAGGACTGGCAGGCTTTTAAAGACCAACACAATCTTAGATTCTATTATTCATATTGTATATATAACATTGTATTTAATGGTTGAACGACGGATGATTGTTACTAATGGGTAATAGGTAATAAATATTACGTACTATTAATAGTTCTTATTTGTATACAATATTGTAAATATTGTATTAATGTTTAAACAAATAGATCTAAAATGACGGCAACCATCGAAAATATATAATAATAATAATAATAGTAATTTCTCAAAAAATGCATCTTACGCGACCCTCAAAATTTAACATCAAAAATACCCTATTTAGTACTACTATATTAGTAATATTATTAATATAAAATTTATTTTGTATTATTGCATATTAATATTAATATTAATATGGGTTTCATTCAACAAAATTGCTTTTTTAAACCAATACATTTGAGATCCAGAACTTACTATTAAAAGATCTTAGAAACTAGAAGTTCTATTTTATTTATTCCTATGGTCATTAAGAATTTTTGTATAAAGTTACAAGAAATGATAAGGTTTCTAATGAAATAACTTTGAATGTGAACTTAAATAATGAAAAAAAATGAAATTTTCTTCAACTAATAGTTTTTTATATCTTGTAAATTTTGTAGGGATCCTCAAGTTATATATTCAGAAGAATTTGTTTCGACTTTTATATATGAATTTTATTAAAAAATTTTTTTTTGTTCAACATATACAGAAGTATCACATTAGACCATTTGTAATATATATTGTGAGATTGTAAATAAGGACTGAAGAAGTCCCGAGCATGTCGATCAATCGGAACCAACTTACTGCGGCAGCCACGTGACAATGACATCATTTTCTATTTTTATCTTAATATTTTGTGTAACAACTACGCCACATACTGCGTCATGTTACACATTACATCATTTCTATTTTTAACTTATTTTATGACATAATTATTTACTTTTAATTATTAATTCAATTATTTGTAATAGTGACTCATAGGATTAGTCATTATGAGTCATAGCATTAGTAATTAGCAATTAGTAAGCTAGTATTACAGAAAATAGGATTAATAAGCATATTTTATTGGACAAACTAGAGTAAAAGTCATGTTATTTGTAATACCCCAAGAGGTATAAAAGGACTTGGTTTTAGACCAAGTCAGAATCATGTTCATAACAATCTTTTAATTATTGATCTAATAATTAATACATCCTAACACATTGTAATAATAATATTATTGTCGCTAATAAAACACATAACATATTTTACCCTAAATAATAATCTCTAATTAATTTAATAAACCACCAAGGGGAAACCTTTGCTGACCATAGCAGTTAACCAGTATCTCAACTATCAAGAGACATCTCAAGGGGACGCCTTTGGGATATAATTACATATATAGAACCTAGGGACCCTTTTATCTGCAAAGATAAGAGTTATATTTTTATTAATTTTTGACCGTAAGTCAGCGAGTAGGCTGTGTGTCAAACAATAGAATCAACCGTAAGTCAGCGGGGAGGCTGTGTGTTGAGCTAAATAACCTATTAAATAGCAAACTCGGATTGCACGCTCGCAATATTTAAATTCAGAGTTCGCCTGAAAAATCTAGTTTCAGCAATGATCATTGAGCCAATAAAATTTAATTTTTGCATGATGTCTGGAAGGGAGATCATCACAAAATTTAGCCAATGAAATCAAACTTCCATCATGCTGTTAAAATTAAGGTTTGTGGCTAATTTTATTAATAGAATTTCGACATTGATCACCAAAAAATTTCGGAAAATACACTTCCCAATCGTTTAATGTGACAAATCATTCGACTATTAAGAAATTAGGTGAGGAAAGTGGAGTGTGTGAGGTGTGTGAGGAGAAATTTGTTTAATGAAGTTTTTTTTTTTGTGACGAAATAATTTTTGACGAAAAGAACTTTCAACGAAATGGGTGTTGGTGAAGTGACTGTTGATGAAATGAATCAGACCCCATTAATTTAATTGAAATTAATGGAAAAAACCATTTCATCTACAATTAGCAACATGGCACCACACCATTCAATTTCTCCTTTAACTAGTGTGGTTCTGAAAATATGACAGCTTTCTTCCATTGCTTATATTGCAGGTATAATGATGTCATGCCAATTGATGTTAATTGGTTCTTTAAAAAATGGTTATTAGTTAAATTGATAACTGATTGTTATTTAGAGATTTTTAGAAGGAAATTTGTGTTAATTCTTTTTTTTTTTACATCAATTTGAAATTACATATTTATATTACAAATAAATAGTAATTGTGATATATAAATAAACAACCATATTTTAGTTTTAATTGATAGCTTCTTTTTTGTAACTATTCAGTTTGGATCTTTTTAATTATTATCATAATATTTAAATACTTTACTTGTTGGTAATAATTGTTTTTATTAAACACTTTAGAATAAAATGACAAGGAAAAATCTGCAAACGTTTTATATAAAACCCGAGAAGGAAAAACTCAAGAGAAAGAAGTAGAAGTCAGGAAAGGTACAGTCCTCCAAAAAAGTAATGGCGGAGTGTTTTTTTATATAAAAAAATTTTCTACATAAGAAACTATTTCCAAATTTTTATATCCAGACCATATTTAGGTAGAGGATATACCTATAAAAAATCAGTACTTGGTATGTTCTCCTTCTGCATCAATGCAGACCCAAATGCGATCTGGCATACTAGTAACACATCTAAGAACTACATCATCAGGTATATTATTTCCACTCCTCCCTTGCTAACGCAATAAATGTCTCCTGTGACACATTCATTTTTGCACCACCATTGCCTTGACCCTCTTCTCTACATTGTGCTTGAGAATTGCCCAGATATTTTCGATCAGGTTGAGATCTGGGCTATATGATGGTCAAGGCAAAACCCGCTTCGGCAGATGCAATTCAAGACCTGCACAAACCTCCTTTGAAGTATGTTTGGGATCGTTATCTTGCTGGAAAACCCAGCTTTGATCCCTGCCAATGCTATTTGCATTGTCATACAAATTCTCATTGAGAATTTTTCGATAGAGGTGTCAATCCATGTTCTCCACGAACATACACATTCCAACTTTTCCACATGCACAAATTACACCCCACATGTGAAGTTTAAACAGGTGTTTTACCATTGGTGTAATGGGTTTTTCAGAGCGTGACCAAGCCAAACAAGTGTTTCAAAACATCTGCAAAGTTGTTTCATCGGAAAATACGACCTTGCGCCAGTTATAACGTGAATGGCTTTGAGCCCATACCAACCGGTTTTGCTTGGCTTGTTTGGTGAGAAGAGGGACATGTCTTGGTAAAGTAGCAACATAACCAAGTCTAGAGAGTTCGTTACGAATAGTTTGTTCAGTCGCCTCAAAATCTGTGTGGGTTTCCTCAAGTCGAGCCTTAATTTCACAAAGTGATTCAAATTTACAATTTTGCCGATCTGGCGGTGCATTTTTGGTGAAACTTTGCATGGACATCCAGAACGATGAATTTCTGGAATTTTGCCATTTTTGCGAAGGTGAGCTACATATTGTTCACAGGAGCAAAGAGGAACACTAGTCTTTTGAGAGATTTGTGTTGGACTTTTGTAGCCTTGTCGCCACAAGTTCTTAACCGCTTTGCAGTTCTCTTTTAAAGAAAAATTTTCCATTTGTCGAAGTAATATGCTTTACTAATCAAAATATATATTCAAATTCGAAGTAAACAAACAGTGTAGTACAAGTCTCAAAATATACCGATAGTAATCTAATATATCCCAACAGCAACTGATCGCACCATAAAAAGGATTACATGGCATAAAAGGCACCCCGCCATTACTTTTTTGGGGGACTGTATATTGAGATTAAGAAAGTAATTACAAATAATGATAAGGTTACCAACTCTCTCCACCTCACAAACTTCAGATATCAATGAAGATAAAACCAACAAGATATCATTTTTAACAACGAATATATTCATTGGTATTAATTGCACAAACTCAACTAATGAATAAATATGCATCTATTATAGCTAGAAGAAATCAAATAACAAGGAAAAAAGAAGTCATAGTAAATTGCCTACAAAAAGTATAATTTGACAATTTACTATTAATTTTAACATACATTGTTAATAATAATAGGAAAAGAGGTAGACACATTTCTTCTAACCCAAGTCCTAGTCGAAGGATCTAATCAAAAGCATTTCGGGCGAATACAATATAATTTATATTTATAAAGTTTATTTGTTAAAAAAAGTCATACATTTCCAATCGTTGATATGATTATTACATACATGTCATCCGCACCAACGGGAAGTGTACCTTAGAAGGGATCAAACTGAAGAAGCAAGCGAACAGATTAAAAGAAGGTGACATGCAAATAGCCATAAAGAAATCAATTGTTTTGAAACTGTGCGAAGCCAAAAAACCAGTTTCGACTTTTAATTTTAAGATATAATTTTAATTTGGTTTTGACTTGAGGTTGAGCTTGACCGGTCTGATCTGGTCTTTTGAGACTGGTTAACTCGATAGTATTTTGATGTGAAATGCATATTGCGAAGGTAGCTTTTGGTCAATCTCAATTATTTTACGTTTTACGGCCGAGTTCGAGTTAACGTTTTGATTAATTGCAAGATTTCATATACAATTAATTTAATTTGTGAATTTATCCTGATTACTGCCTCTTTCCTGTACTTAGAAAGCTTCAGCGAATCTGTAAGCACACTTTAAGATTGTTTTTGTTTCACTATTATTAAATTAATAATTGGTTAATTGGGGTAAGATTACGCGTAAATATTTAATAATGCATTGAAGTTTAAATAAATAAACGTGGTCACAAGGCCTCACTTTAGCACATAAAAAAATAAAAATCTAAATAAAAATATATTAATAAAATTCAAAAAATACGAAAGAGGCTATGTCACATGTCCAACATACGATTGGACGGCATTTGCAATATTTAAAATTAATATTAATAATTATAATTCACAATTTCCTTATTAAGAAGGATCCGCTGGTTCGTGGTTCAAAAAGGACTGGCAGGCTTTTAAAGACCAACACAATCTTAGATTCTATTATTCATATTGTATATATAACATTGTATTTAATGGTTGAACGACGGATGATTGTTACTAATGGGTAATAGGTAATAAATATTACGTACTATTAATAGTTCTTATTTGTATACAATATTGTAAATATTGTATTAATGTTTAAACAAATAGATCTAAAATGACGGCAACCATCGAAAATATATAATAATAATAATAATAGTAATTTCTCAAAAAATGCATCTTACGCGACCCTCAAAATTTAACATCAAAAATACCCTATTTAGTACTACTATATTAGTAATATTATTAATATAAAATTTATTTTGTATTATTGCATATTAATATTAATATTAATATGGGTTTCATTCATGGAAACAAAAAATTCTGCAGTATACAAATCGAGTATCCTTAATATTAAGTCTAAAACATTATTGTGAACTTCACGCGGTGCAGATCTTTAAGGGGATACGGACGAGCCACATAATAATTTAAATATATTAATATATACTTGAATACGTGACATCACAAGATTTGTTGATTCGAAGAAATATTTGTCTTTTGTACAAACAATAAAATTGTTTAAATCTCAAACACGAAAAAATCAAAGGAATATTCCTATCCAAGTTTGCTCGATATTCCCAATTGGTTGGAGCGAGTTAGTTAGTTAGTTACTGATTTCATTTGTTGATCTACTGACTACCTTCAAAGATTACCATGGCAAATCACAAGATAAAGAGTAATGGAAGAAGGCGTAAAGTCGCAGGCATCTTGGAGTAATTATTAATCAACATATCGTCATCATACACAGAAAACTTTCAATCAGTTGTAATCAAAGATCACCAAATACGAGAACCTATCTATTTTTCAACTCGATCAAACAATCTAATCCGCTTAAGCCTATTTCTATTCAATGATATCATTTTGCAATAGAGAGATTTTAAATGAATTTGATAGATGTATGGTTTATTTTAAAATGAAATAAATAAATAAATATGGAATAAGTTCGTTTATTTATCTTTCCTTCATTTACTAATTTTACTAATAAACTATACAATAATTCATTGTCTCGAAGCCAAAATTGTTGTTGCTCCCATACATATCCTTTGTTTACCCAATTAATTATCCTTTATTACAAATTACACAAATTAGGATTGTCGATGATTTTATATTTATTTATATTTAGAAAAAAACCACGTTACAAATTACATTATTGTGTCATCATCACTGACGCCAAAATTTAAAAAACTTTTTTTTACAAACAAAACAATAATACTTTTTTGATATTATAGACATATAGAGTATTTATATAAATATAGATTCATTTTATTATTTTTTTTTATTTCTGCTAATTTATTATTATTAGATGAAACTAACACATAATCTATAAAAAACATGCTTTTATTAAAATACAACTCATTACCTTCTGACAAATTAATAATATGTGAAAGCGTAGGTCCTTTTTTTAATCTAATATATTATTGTTGCATTACTAAATCTTTGTTTACTTATCTCCCTTTCGTTTCCTTTTTTGTAGACAATGTTAAAATTTTTGTATAATAAATTATCTTCAGACACTGGAATCTATTTTAACGTATGGGATTGGTCAATACCAGAGTTATATGGTATAGTGTTGGGTATGATGGTGAAATTGGATTTGAGTGGTTGTTTACAAATACAAGAATCAGAAATGTTGGATTTTATTATCGATGTTGAAAAAGGCTATTTTACAACTGATTATCATTCATTTTATCATGCGGCAGATGTTGTGGCCATGTTATACTACATGTTGGTTGATTTAGGTGCTGCCAAACATTTGACTCACTTTGATTCGATTTGTTTGATGATAGCTGGATTGTGTCATGATATAGGACATCCCGGTTTAAATAATGTTTACCAGGTTAATGCAAGAACGCCTCTAGCAATCAAATATAATAATCAATCTGTATTAGAAAATTATTCTTGCACACTGACAATGGAGTTGCTATCAAAACATAAATTGTTTCGTCATTTACATAACAACAACAACAACGATTTCCAAGGAATGGATCCACAACAAATTGACTTCACTTTGAAATCTTTGATAAAGAAAATAATTTTAGCAACTGATATGATGAATCATTATGAATTGTTAGAATCTTTGCATAATATTATTAATTTATCATCATCATCCACTTCTTCTACAAACATTTGTTCTTCTTCATCACCATCTTCTGATGAATCTTGTGGCGAGGAATTGGATAATGATAGTAGTAATGGTAGTGGTAGTTATTCATCAAGCTCCTCCATTGCTTCCTCACCTGAATATTTTTCAATGTCTACAAGTTCACCTTCAAAGCTATTAGATAAAGATCAACGTGATATTTTTTTAAAAGTTTTACTTCATGCTGCTGATCTGAGTAATGCTGTACGTCCATGGGATATATCTAAACGTTGGTCTGATTCTATTGTTGAGGAATTTTTTAAACAAGGTGACTTGGAAAAACAAAAAAACCTGCCTGTATCTCCAGATATGGATAGAGAACAAGCTCATCAGTCACAAATAAGTCTTGGTTTTGGTGATTTCGTTGTCAAACCATATTTTGAAGCATTGGCTTTATTTCTAAACGATGCTACAATCTTTCTTGACACTTTGGCAAAAAATCGTGTTTATTGGGATGAAATAAATAATAATAATAATAATAATAATAATAACAACAACAAGAAGAAGAAGAAGAAGAAGAAGACTGATTATGATGATAATAATTCACAAACAAGTTCTCCAAAATTTTCAAATATTAGAACTAGCATTTCTAAAGATAATAATAATACAAAAACAATCCTTGTGTCAAAGTTTATTGATAATTTATTACCATCATTAAGTTCAAAATCAAAAACACCCATATTAAAAAAATCATCACATCCCATTTCTACCACTAATAAAACAAAATCAATGATGTCAATCACCAATCCATCCCCACTATCATCGTCATCACCATCGTCACCATCGTCACCATCATCACCATCATCATCATCGTCGTCCTCGTCGTCGTCGTCTTCATCATCAATTAAAGGACAACAACGTCGTGTAAGTTTAGCTGCTGGTCTACTGATTATACCAGAGGATATCCAGGAAAAATTATCTCGAATGTCAACTCCGCATACTTCCTACCCGACAATGCATCATTTTTGTAGTGATAAAAGTGGAAAGATAAGACGTACTTTATCTGGTAGATCATATAGTAGTAATGCATTGTTAACCTCAACTCCATCAATCATCTAACATTACTGAATCTTGATGATAGTAATGACAATCTTGTAGATTCTGATTAAAAATCCAATACTCGTTAAAAACACCATTACCATTATATAATTATAATTGTTATCTTAGCCACCACATTCTTAATAACCAGCGTCTAATTCATTAGTTAGTTAATTAAATAGATAGATAGATTAGGTAGACAGATATAAATTTCTGCATTTATACATACTTGCATTCACACATTTACGCATGTTTACTCATCTTACACACTCAAAAAAATCACAATTCACATTTCATATTTTTTTAGCATAATAACAATGATTGATAGATTTCTTTCAAAATCAATGTAAATTTTTTTTTCTTTAGATTATACACATTCATACACACATATTTTACATATATATATATTTGCAGAAACCTAAAATAAAATTGCATAAAGTACAAATATTTCTTTGAAAAATATCAATAATTTTTTTTACAGGAATCTAACATTCTCAACACTCCAAATAATAATAACCATAATAATAACATATATTTCACTATTATTAGAAATATTTTTAAATGGTTACTTTATATCTAGTTACCAAAACTTTTATATTTATTAATAGAGATAAGTATAATTTACTATTGCAAAGCTTCTTCATCCAATTTATCCCCCAAAATTAAACTCGTTTCAAAACCCACAACTTTTATTGGTCTTGCAGATTCTTTAATTCCTCCAAAAATGAAGATGTAAGACCAAAATCAAGAATTAAATCCATGACCTTTCTCACATTATCATGGCTTCAAAGTTGCAATATATTTATCATTATCATTGCTAACACGATAAGTATCTTCATGAACATCTTTATCAATATTACCATCAAAACAAAATGTCTCAACGATACAATCACCAGGTCAATAACTGCGATTTTCAACACCTAATTAAATAGACAAAAAATTTATTTCTTATATCTATTTTTTCATATATGTTTGTTTATACATTGTAACTTTGTAGCAAAAGGTCTTGGCTTCAAAACCACGATTCGTTTTTTTGATGCTATATTCCTATTTTTGGAATGCTAAAGGATCTACAAGACCAAAAAAAGGTTGCAGGACTAGGTGTCTTGCACTTTACGATATATTAAACAATTACATAATTCTTATCTGATGAATGAATATTAATTGATGATTCCCACATTTTTCAACAATGAGCATAATTCTTTTGGTTTAAAGAGTGTGTTAAAATAATAAATAATCAAAATTATCGATTTAATCATTAGTATTAGTAATTTTTTATAGTGGAATCTACTAATACTGAAAGGCTAACCAATTGGAAATTATTTTCTGCGAAAAAAAATATAAAAGCAAAAATCAGGTATATATGTTGTTAATAGCACATAACATCTGTTTTGGCGTATTATCGCTGACTTAGTGGTAGTGATGTACACAAAATTACGAGCATGGTACAACTTCAATGGGGCGTTGGTTTACAAGATAATATTCTTAAAAGTTGTTTCTATGTACATTTTTTTATTGAAAAAGCTTAGTGGATCAAAAAAATATTGAATTATCAATTAGTTTATTCTCCAGTGTCGAGATAGTAATAATAACTTTTTCCAAAAATGTTGTTATTATTATTATTGGGAGGTTGTTCTTAGTATTAAAGGTATTTTGTATAATAGTAATGTTTCTAACACATGTAGAGAAATTTTTATATGATCGTAACTGTAATTTATTTTCTTTTATTAAATATTATTTATTAATTATTACTATTTATTAATTATTATCGATTCGTTAAAAAAGAATAACATTCTTTGGGGGTGAAGATGTATGTAAAGTAATTAATGAAGTATGATTTAAAATAATTGAAAAGATTGGGGAAATAATAGAAATAATTTAATATTTATATTTTTTATATGTAATCCTAAAAGTAAATTTGAAAATATAAATATTAGTTAATAACAATTATTATTATAACAATAATTAAAATAATCAATCAAGATTACCATTGAGCGCCATATAGTGTTAATAAGCCAATTGATCCAACACCAATTTGAATTTTAGTAGCAGTAGGTTTCTTATAAATCCAGCCAATCAGCATTCCAGCTAAAGCGATATCTAACGTAGCGCTTAGAATAATTGTTTTTTTTGATAATTTTTTTGATTTTTTATCACTTCCTCCTCTAGATGTATAGTTGTCATCTATTCCACCACTGCTTATTGTTATTATACCTTTAGAAGCACTAGGTTTGTAAGAATAACTGGAGGTGTTGTGGAAGGTGGAATTAGCTTCTGTTTCACTATTATCATGTTCTTTATTATCAATATCGGTATCTTTTTTCAAAACTTCTGCATATGATGGTGCTGCAGCCATATTTACTACAAAGAAGCAAAAAAATATTTTTAAAAGTAAAAAAAAAACGAATTTTGCAATATTTATTATTAATGATCCCCAACATTGTCGACATCATGACATCATCAGCATTATGACATCATCGATAATATCAACTTAAGGGTAGAGTGATCCACGTATATAGTACGACTATAAAACTATACTAATTTAACGGATAAGTTTGGTCCAAGAAATTTATCCGCTAAATTAAAAACGAGAAATTTGGAATTAGCGGATTTTATAATAAAAATCATGTGACATCAGTTAAATTTAAAAAAATTAACTATATAAACAACAAAAAAAAATTTAAATTTATTTTAATAAATAATACTTGAATACTTGAGATAGATTCCGAACTTGTTCTGGATTGTGTTCTATTAATAAATGCTCAAAAGCAAAGAGGACACATGAAGTACAACTTATGGCTTGATCATTCCAAATTATGGTGAGAAGTTTTGACGTAGTGGGTTGCAATCAGGGCAAGATTACTTCATTTCATTAGTTGTAATGTTTTCTGTGTACTATAGACAAAAAAAATTATTTAGATGAAAGAGAATTCGAAATTACTACACAAGTTTGCATGAGTTCGTGACTTCTGTTCTTGATCAAATTAAACAATACACTAAAGTTGTTGCTGACACTGGTTATTTTGAATGTAAGAGTTTTTTCAATAAATTAATAAATTCTTCAACCAACACCAATCATAATTTTTATCAATTAATCCTATTTATACAAGAACGATTGCCAAGTATAAGCCTCAAGATGCAACAACAAACCTTTCTTGATTTTACAAGCCACACAAAAACCTAATTATGCTCATCATTTCACAATATATTCCACATATCTATTATATAGATCAATTGATAAAAAAGTTGAATTAGCAACTGATAAATTGGTAAAATTGGAGAATACTTATAATATCTTAATATATATATATATATAACTCACGCAAATACATAATTATAGTTGATTAATTTTGATAATGAAATTCTTAAAATTATTCCTGGGCGAGTTTCAACTGAAGTAGATGCAATTTTATCATTTGACACTGAAGGGACTATTGCTAAAGCTAACTGTTTGATTGGACTTTATGAGGAAGCTGGTATTGGTAAGGAAAGAATATTAATCAAGATTGCTTCTACTTGGGAAGGCATTAAAGCTGCTTAATACTTGAGAAAGAAAGAATCCATTGTAATCTCACTTTACTTTCTCTTTCCCTCAGGTTATTATTAAATTCTTTTTACATATTTGTTTGTTTTCTTGCTCCCTGTTTCTCTTCCTCTCATATATAATAGGCAGTCGCATGTGCTGAGGCAGGCGTAACTTTGGTTTCACCATTTGTTGATCGTATTCTTGATTGGTATAAGAAAAATACAGGACAAGATTTCTCAGCCAAAGAAGATCCAGGTGTAAAATCTGTCACTAAAATTTATTATTATTGTAAAAACTATTGTTATGGGTGCTTTATTCCGTAACACAGGGGAAGGCGAAGAATTAGCTGGTTGTGATCTTTTGATTATTAGTCCAAAATTGTTAGAACAATTACATTCTGATACTAAAAAAACCATTAAACGTAACCTAAGTCCTGAAAATGGTAAGTTATTTGTGTTTATGTGTAAAATGTTTGTATATACATAATGCATGTATATTATGCATGCATACTATTTATATACGTCAAATATACGCACTTCACAACAAATTGTTAATCGTGGTTTATAATTAGTTAAGAAAAAGTTACCTTTGATGAAAAAGGTTTCAGATGGGCACTTAATGAAGATGCTATGGCTACAGAAAAACTTGCTGAAGGTATTCGAGATTTTGCAAAATTAAAGACTCACTTGAGAGAGCTTTTATCTGCTTGATTCTTTTTCTTTTTCCATCACACGCATCTACATATATTGTGAGTATGAATGAACATAGATAAACAATTATAAGTATTAATTAATTAGCAAAATATCCAATTAAAATTTTTTTGGGGGGAAAAGAATATAATAATAACCTGAGGGAAAGAGAAAGTAAAGTGAGATTACAATGGATTCTTTCTTTCTCAAGTATTAAGCAAGCTTTAATGCCTTCCCAAGTAGAAGCAATCTTGATTAATATTCTTTCCTTACCAATATCAGCTTCCTCATAAAGTCCAATCAAATGGTTAGCTTTAGCAACAGTCCCTTCAGTGTCAAATGATAAAATTGCATCTGCTTCAGTTGAAACTCTCCCAGGAATAATTTTAAGAATTTCATTATCAAAACTAATCAACTATAATTATGTATTTGTTTGAGTGATATATATATTTATATTAAGATATTATAAGTATTCTCCAATTTTACCAATTTATCAGTTGCTAATTCAACTTTTTCATCAATTGATCTATATAATAGATATGTGAGTATATTATGAAATGAATGGTCTTGCGTGTAACAAATTAATTACCCATTTTTGCTTTTAGCATATTTAATAGCTGAATCAACCAGATGAGCATAATTAGGTTTTTGTGTGACTTGTAAAATCAAAGAAAGGTTTGTTGTTGCATCTTGAGGCTTATACTTGGCGATCGTTCTTGTATAAATAGGATTGATTGATAAAAAAATTATGATAGGTGTTGGTTGAAGAATTTATTAATTTATTGAAAAAACTCCTACATTCAAAATAATCAGTGTCAGCAACAACTTTAGTGTATTGTTTAATTTGATCAAGAACAGAGGTCATAATTCTTTTGGTTTAAAGAGTGTATTAAAATAATAAATAATCAAAATTACGATTTAATCATTAGTATCAGTAATTTTTTATAGTGGAATCTACTAATACTGAAAGGCTAACCAATTTAAAAGCAAAAAATCAGGTATATATGCTGTTAATAGCACATAACATTTGTTTTGGAGTATTATTGCTGACTTAGTGGTAGTGATGTACACAAAATTACGAGCACGGTACAACTTCAATGGGGCGTTGGTTTACAAGATAATATTCTTAAAAGTCGTTTCTATGTACATTTTTTTATTGAAAAAAGCTTAGTGGATCAAAAAAATATCGAATTATCAATTAGTTGATTCTCCAGTGTCGAGATAGTAATAATAACTTTTTCCAAAAACGTTGTTATTATTATTATGGGGAGGTCGTTCTTAGTATTAGAGGTATTTTGTATAATAGTAATGTTTGCATGTAGAGAAGTTTTTATATGACCGTAACTGTAATTTATTTCTTTTATTAAATATTATTTATTAAATATTATTATTTATTAATTATTATCGATTTGTTAAAAAAGAATAACATTCTTTGGGGGTGAAGACATATGTAAAGTAATTAATGAAGTATGGTTTAAAATAATTGAAAAGATTGGGGAAATAATAAAATAATTTAATATTTATATTTTTTATATGTAATCCTAAAAGTAAATTTGAAATATGAATATTAGTTAATAACAATTATTATTATAACAATAATTAAAATAATCAATCAAGATTACCATTGAGCGCCGTATAATGATAATAAGCCAATTGATCCAACACCAATTTGAATTTTAGTAGCAGTAGGTTTCTTATAAATCCAGCCAATCAGCATTCCAGCTAAAGCGATATCTAACGTAGCGCTTAGAATAATTGTTTTTTTTGATAATTTTTTTGATTTTTTATCACTTCCTCCTCTAGATGTATAGTTGTCATCTATTCCACCACTGCTTATTGTTATTATACCTTTAGAAGCACTAGGTTTGTAAGAATAACTGGAGGTGTTGTGGAAGGTGGAATTAGCTTCTGTTTCACTATTATCATGTTCTTTATTATCAATATCGGTATCTTTTTTCAAAACTTCTGCATATGATGGTGCTGCAGCCATATTTACTACAAAGAAGCAAAAAAATATTTTTAAAAGTAAAAAAAAAACGAATTTTGCAATATTTATTATTAATGATCCCCAACATTGTCGACATCATGACATCATCAGCATTATGACATCATCGATAATATGATATCAACTTAAGGGTAGAGTATACGTAACACGAATCTACTATGATCTACAATGGCTAATTTTGATTTTACCCAGTTTAAACCTTTACTTCTATACTAAGAAAAAACTTTACTGCCTGTTGTTAACACTACACTGGTTAATCAACATTAACATTAATGCCGGACCTCCAGAGTTCTATACCGCTCTGATAACAAATCGACAATTTAAATTCTACGGTTTAATTCCGACCACAAAGGTGTTTTAACATTAAGATTGAGTTTTATTACGAATAAAACTCTAAGCGTAGGAAATTTTTGTGGTGGATCTACGAATATGTAACGATCAGACCAAAAATGGCGTCTCTGATAAGAAATGGACCCTCGCTACCATGGTATAAAAATTACAGACTATGTATGTATTTAGAAACATAGACACATTATTGTTTCAAAATCAGTTCCTTAAAAGTTTCATTCTTGTCTGCAATACATCATGATCTCAGAAATTTCACAAGAATAATTAAACGATAGACTTTTGGGGATCATACCATCAACTAGAGCAAAAAAAGTTTATAGCTATTAATAAAGAAAACTTACAATCCTACTGGAGATGATCTGGATGCCTAAAAAAATATTTCAGAGAAAAATTTGTTATATAGACAATATTAGCAGTTACTCGAGTTTCATCCAGATGGTATAATATGACTCACTAGAACAGTTAGAAGTTTATAAGTGATTAAGAGGAGAAAATGGAGAAAATGGCTCATTTATTGGAAGAAGTAGCAGTAAAGAAAAATAATGATGTTATTTCGAAAAAAATTAGAATATTTACTTTAGTAATTGGGGTGTTAAAAAAATTATTTTGTAGAACGGTCTTTAATTAATAATTAATTTAAAAAAAATTCTCTAATAATCATTTTAATGATAACAACATTACTACCAACCATCTCAACTATATATAATTACCATTATAATCTATATAATATTAAGGAATTCGACTTTTGAATAGTGTATATCGATCAATAGTTTCCAATGTGATATTGGGTTTTTCTTTCCCCAATAAATTATCCCTTGTGTCATCAAGTAACTTATTTTTTATTTTCTGAATAAATTACAAAAATTTAATTAAAATTAAAATTAATTAATTAATTGTGATAAAGAGAGAAACATATTAATAATAAATAAACATAATAATAATAATTACCACTTGATCTTGTTCTAAATTGTTAATTTCTTCAAGTTTTTGAGCATTAGCAAGATCTTCAAGATTACGTTTTTCCATTTTTGAATATCTTTTAGAAGCAAAACAAAGTAGATTTATACCAACTAGCAATTTTATAAATATCATACTAGCAAAACAAAAATTCGCAATTAATTTTTCTAAACCTATATAATTCACAAATAATAATAATAATAATAATAATTGTAGTAAGATTACCTACACAATAAATAATATGATACCATATAAAATCCATACCGCACTAGGTAATGAGGCAACATTGGCCATCGGATTACGGCTACTTTGTGAATCTTCTTCTATTTCAAGTATCAAATCAAAAATCATTGTCACAGTTTGTATTGATACACGAATTGTCTAATGATAATAGTAAATTATATTTCATTAGTAAAAAAAAATTTTTTTTTTCACAAGGAAAAATAATTATAATAATAATATCTATAATTACAAGACATGCTAACGGTATTGCAGCAAAACCAATTCTACGTGAAACCATGGGTGATTGATCAACAAATGTCTAATAAGAAAAATTAATTTTTTTTGTGATAGGGAGTTAATTTTCAAAAGAACTTGGAATAATCTCTGATTCCATTCCAAATTTAATACTTAACTGATTTATCGAGGTCATTGACTCCACCAGGAGGAAGTCTAGTTGGATTACCAACCACCAAGTCTTTTGATAATACATCAATAAAAGTTTCATAAACACTTGGTCTTATATGATTAAATTTAGTGATGAATGCATGCTTAAGCCAATCAACACATATTTCAGATGCAAAAACAAAAAATACTGGAGTCAATAGTGTTTCGAGAGTTGTCATTTTTGGAAATAGTGGGATGAATGAAGATGGCAAAATTGAAAAAGGTGATGGAGGTGAACCTGACAATTCGATTAGATTACGAATTGTGATTACTGATAAAAATAACGCTAGTTGAAAACGTTCTACTATATCTATTAGATGTAGAATAAAAGTTTATGCAAATAAGTAAATATTTATATGTTGGTGGAAAACCATCTATATCTATTAATATATATGCAATATCTTTCTGAAATTTCATATTATAATGTAATAGTTTACCAGCACAACTTAGTTGGAACAAATTTTCTTTTTCAAATCTTTTAAATACTGATCCTTTAATTTCGATGAATTGATTTGACAATAATAATGTCAGTAAAGCATTTGAATAGGAATTGATTGCCACGTTAAGTGTAATTGCTTGATAAAATAATATTGTCGTATGGATTACTTTTTATTTGCAATTTTTTATATGCGAATTAAGGATTTTTTTATAATAGAATATATAATTGAAAAATTTAAAAATCATACCATTAAAAAAATAAATATTAAAAAAGGATACGTATATATAGGAAAGCCAAAATAAAGAAAGTAATTGGCCTTAGATGATGACGATTGTTATATTTAATCTTTATATCATAACCAAGAGTAGATTTAGAAAATAAAGATTCAAGAATATCTCCACCAAACGAGCAACATAATCTATCAAGTATCTATCAAGTATTCATTTGAATAATTTAAATCAATCAATTAATTAATATAATTAGAAAATTATTGGCAATCTCATTAATTATTAATATTATCATCTCACGAGCTTACTTCAAGAGCATTAAATATCACGTATAATTTAATGACTGATTGACCACGGATTGAATGATACATTTGAGCAGAATCAATCCCTTGTAATGCTATGCACACGAGTATTATCAATAATCCTTTGAGAAGATCGCATTTCTGAGATGAATTAATTATATTGAATTGTCTAACAAAGATGAACCAATCATCAATGAAAGAATTGAAATATGGATATAAATTAATTATTAATTAAATTATTAATCAAATTTATTAGAAAAATTAAATAACTAAATAATGAATTACTTTGATATTTCTCCACTTCTGCTATTAATCTTATTATTATCGTTGTTGTTGTTGTTGTTGAAATATATCAAGTTTTTAAAGATTAAATATAAAGCCAATAATATTCTTAAAGGCAATATCGTAAAAGTGTAAAGAAATGAATCAAAGCAAATAAAGAAACCAAACCACATTATCTAAAATAATTAAATGATCAAAATTTTAATAATTTAATTACAACGTTCATTTTATTCGCTCATTTACTTTTTAATCCCAACGTTACCTTTTCGATAGCAAAAGGTATGGCCAAAAAGTTGGTTACTCTTTCCCTTTTAAGTTCTTGTAAAGTATCAAAATCTGATGCTGTCAACTCATCTTTAAGATAATCCCATAGGGTCAAGAACCGATCTGAAATTGTGCTTCCATTAAAACTTTTAATGAAAGTTACTGCCATCATATCAATGTGTGTGGATTGAGAATAATTGAAATTAATTAATTGAATTAAATTAATTGATATTAATATTTGTCATTGATGAGGATAAATACTTTATTATTATCATCTAAATGAATGAAAGTCGCCACACATTCGTGCTTTTTTTTATTTATTATTATGCACATAAATACCTAGACTTGTGCAATGTATTAAGAGAATTATCCAATTGCTAAATTTGATAAAATCGACTGTTAATCAATTTTATTGCCAAATTTGACAAAAATTTGTAACACGGGAAGTAATAGTGCAAGACACCCACCTATATACATGAAAATAATTTTGTTTTGGGGAATCTTCAACCAAGCAACATTTTATATGATAAAAACTTATTTGATAAATTTTTAATTGGCCTGGCAAGATGAAATGGATCGTTACCCATTTTTCTTGAATTCAAAAACCAATTAGTGACATTATGAAGAAAACTCGATTGTATCTGTTAGAAAATCGTTTTCTAAATAGATTATTATACATTAATTTATATACATGTGGTAATTAACATCTTTTTTAAAAAAATAGATTACTTTGCTAATAAAAATTATTAAATAACAATAATAGTAATAATTACATATATAATTACACAAGAGAAAATTTAGTATTGAATGCCAGTTGTCTATTTATCAGGTATAATTCATTAATGATAAAGGCTTTTATTTAAAAAAAACCCAATTTTGTTTTTACAACCAATGTTGGTGATGCTGCCTCTGTTAATGAACGACTTGGATTTTTTGAAATTTTTTTTTCAGCTACTGCTTACAACAATGGACACAAATGAATATTCTGTGAACAATCCTGAAATATAGATTTTTATGGAATTGGTTTTTTTTAATTTTTAATTTTTTTCCTTTTTTGTAAAATTTAATGTTTTATTGCATTAATTCAATTCTACATGCAACATGTTAAAAATATTCATAAACGATGTTTGTAAAAAAAAAGAATAAAATCCATGTAACGTCATATTCTCGAATTTTGATGATAATCTACCAACACAAGAAAAAAAAAAATAATAAATTTTTTTAACAACATTCACCTTGTTTTTTGATCTCATACTTTCCAACAAATTATGTTTTAATAAATGTGTTTTCAGCAACTTAAAATTAAATGTTAGATACTTGTATATCAAGTATTTCTATACAACTACAACGTTTTTGTCTTTATTAACAATCATTCCTAAAATGGATAATTATGTTACACCAATTTAATTCCGTTTCTTTTTCTTTTTAATTTAAATAATAATAATAAAATATATTAATCAATTATTCGATATGTCAAATATTCCATATATCAAATCAAACCAAATCACCTTTCCAATTTCAGCTAAATCATCATTGATTTCGCTCTCATGCAACTTAACAGAAACTGTTGGTCGCGAAAGCTGTCAAAATAAACAAATTAATCAGTTTAACAATCACTAGATCATTTGTTATTATTGTCATTATATGAATTAGAGGATCGAGTACCTTTGTTTTTTTAACTTTAACTTCTGTTTCTTCTTTTACACGTGTACGTAATTTTCTTTGGGGGTGGTATCTTGTACTGGATTCTATCACAGAATCTTTTGCATACATGATATATATAAATATAATTAAAATTATTATTGAATTCTGATAAATTATAACTAATATCTTACCACTTGTTACATCAAAACCTTCATACTCTTCTTTTATTTTTTTCTTACGTTCATCTATATCTGCTAACATTTGTTCTTTCAATCCTTGTTTTTCTGTCTAATTTCAAAAAAAATAAAAGTTGACGAGAAAAGAAATAATAATAGGATCGAATAAATCAATCGTTTAAAAATCAGACCGTATAATCTTTTTCCACTTGTTTGATCTCGGCTTCAAACATTTTTTCCACGCATTCAAGTCTGTAACTTCTATATAATCTTGCTTTTTCAAGCATTTGTTCACGTTTTTCTATCAATTGTTGTAATTGTTCTTCATATTCAGGATGGATTCCTTCTCTCATTGCTTTAATATCTAGATCAATTTGATCCAAATTTTCTTTATATATTCTAATTTATAATGCACAAAGTTTACCAAATTGGCCAAATTTATTATCATCATAACAAATAATTACAAATTATACCCACTCTTCCTTTTTAAAATAAAATTCATTGTTTAATTTTTTTAATTTATCAAGAATTTCTCCTCTTCTTCCTTTTTTATTACTGTTATCATGTGTTGCTGGTTCATGAAATTCTAATTATAAAACAATATTGTGTACGTAAAAATGTTTATATATTACATATATTATGTGCGCTTGCAATTATATTTATGTCTATTTTCAAAACAAACCTTCGAAATTTTCTATTTCTTTATCGTCGATACTTATCCTTGCATTTTCTTCTTTTTCTTTAAATTTTTTTGAAGACTCTCTACCATTTTCAGTCTCAACACCTATGTGAAATGTATTTTGCATCATATTATCATATTCTTCAACTATTTCCTCTTCGGAAGAATTTCCTTCGCAGTAATTGGGTTTAGTTGCTAATTGTCGTTGCGCTCTTTTTGAAAGTGGCTTGTTTGAAAATCTATGAGCAGAAGGAGGCATTTGTTTTTTATAATAATAAAAAATTTATTCAGATTATTTGATTAATTTTTGTTGTTGTTGTTGTTGTTATATAGAAAAATTTTTTTTAAAAAAATATATACTATGCTCTATCACAGGGGTCATAAATAAATACTGCTACATATTTGCTATGGTGTCACGAAAATTTGCATCAGATCCTCTTTTTTTTTTGCGAAATGTTCACTGGAACCTTTCGAACTAGTGAACAACCTGTTCGTTTTGTTCTTGAGAATGTATATTTAAATGAGCTTCATGCTCTGAGGCGCTTTGAAATCAGTAACATTTCACAGTATACAATACTTGTAAAATTACGATCAAACCTTGGATCCCAGATAGCCTTTCAACTTTCCAACGAAAATCTTCCAGATCTAGACTCTCGTGATGCTTGTTCGCCTGATTTACCAACTAGTTTATCTGAGAATCCTTTAACAAATATTACGACAAATACTGTAGCTGCTGCTGCATTTGGTGCCTTCTGTGACAATGTTAATGGTTATAAATTCAATCAGCTTTTCAATTATGTTAATCATATCGATGAAGTTGAAATTCCTCCAAGCTCTTCTCAAAAAGTCATATTAGCCTTCTTACCCGAACCTCTTTATAAAGCTCAAAGATCAGAAATGAATCATTCTTCTGAATTACAATCAACCGATAATGTCACTGGGCCAACAACTTCTGACAATAATCAAGATGACACTGAAGAAACAACAGGAGACTCAAACATTTTTGCCACTTCAACAGAAGACGAAACTTATGATTTTTTTGAAGTCAATGGACTTTTATTCTTTTTTGTATATATTATAGATAATATTAATAGTGACATAGATAATTCTTCTAAGCATAATGAAACGCAAAATTTAATTTCAAATCGCACCTCATCACCATCTATAAATGTGACATATTATTCCGAAAATGATCAAGGTATTTAATCTATATATATTTATGGCTGTAAAATTGCAATAATTAAATTTTAAAAATAATCAGTATTTAATTTTTTTAATATATATGCACACACACATATATAAGTTAATAATTTAAACAAAATTATTATTGACAATTCAATTTATCGTGATGTCGATAATATCAGTAATACAAATAAAGCAGATTATCAGGTCACCATAAAATTTCATTCAACTGTTTGTAAATCAGTATTATGGACAGATGTTGGAGAGACAGGAATTAATTTTGATGACTGTGTGAATGGTGGCACCTACTTCAAAGATTTTACAATTTGGAATAGATCAGAAATCGAGTTATATTGGCTTTTAAACACTGTGGATCTAACAAATTCAAAAAGTGAAGATATGTTGAAATTTACAGATTATGATACTGGTGAACCATTAGATTCCAAACCAATACCAAGTTACTCTCATAGAAGAATTAGAGTCACTTTTCGACCTAAAGAGATTGGAGAATTTAGTTATGATCTGCAATTGGAAAATGCTAACGATCCATCTAATGTTTTGCAGAGTAGAATCCATGCTGTTGTAAGATCAGTATTAAGAGAAGAACTATTAGTTGTAAGTAGTGTAAATAATATTCTTGATTTTGGTGACTGTTGTGCAGGAGTATGGAGTAAACAGCAATTGGTTTTAAAGAATGTCAGTGAAGTACCATTAGAAATTCATTTTGGAGCAGAGAATGCAGAAGTTCAATTTCATCTAAAAACAGATGATTTAATAATAAATTATAATAGATTTGATATTGATGAATCTAGAACATCTTACCATCAAATAACTGGTATTGATGTTTCTTCACCAACAAACACCCTTATCAACACAAGTTCAACAAGTGAAATATCACGTGCTGGTAGTGAGATAAGTTCTCGCACCACTTCACCTACTCCTCCCATTCAAGAAAGTGACAAATTTGATTCATCTTCGGGAATTTCTTCTTTATTAATTAATAACCAACTTAAATTTCAAACATCAGGGTTAATAAATAGAAGTTTTGAGAATAGTATAAATGATTCAGATTTAGAACCATTTGTAAATAATTCATTAATTAATGAACAATCGATCAAAGGGTTATCAGACAATTATGAGTTATATCCAGATAGTCCAGATGGATTGGCACAAATAGAAGAAGTTGTATTTGGGCCAGGAAAAGAAAGCACTGTTCAAGTTTCTTACCGTCCAGAAAAAGATGCCTCAGCAAACAATTACAAGGCAGGCATTCTGACTCGCCGTACATTTCGTATTATATTAAAATATTCACCTCTGAATTTAGCATCAACCAGCTTGAGTTCAAATGAGCAAGAAAGAAAAATTATTCAATGTAGGGCTCGTAGTTGTACCTCTTTTGTCAAAGTTAGCCCAAAAGAAGTGAATTTTGGTGACACTGATGTAGGCACACTTAAATCCATCCCAATTACCATTTATAATTTATCTGAATTAACAGCTAGAGTCAAATTAGAATTTGTTTCCAAGGTGTTAAATTGCATCAGGAATGAAATAGTTATTCCTCCAAAACTTTCAACAGAAATTAAACTTGATATGTATCCCAGGAAAGTTAATGTTGATTACCGCAAACAAATAACTGTTGTTAATTTACAAAATCGTGATAATGATCAAATCATTGAAGTACATAGTACAAATATTGATAAAAACCGTGTCACTTTCCATTCCTTGTTCTATCGAATTTTAACATCTACTGGAAGCAACTTTATTGATTTCGGAACAACTGTTGTCAATTCACCAAATATCCGTACATTTACCATTGACAATATCAGCACAAAAAAATTGATTTTAGAGATAACATCATCATGGCCCGAAGAAATACTAATTTATCAAAAACATCCAAAGGCCGAGGAATTGTCTCAAACAATTAACCCGTTATTAGACAATATAAATGATGAAGACATTGTTAATGGAAATATTGAATCAGAAACATCTAGATCCAAACTAGAAAGACGAGAAAAACTTTTAGAATCAATAAGAGATCGGCGATTGTCAAAAAAACATCATATCAACAACATTGAAACAACATCAACTAGTGGAATTTCCTTAACAAATACTTTAGTTGATGAATTTCATAGTGTTGTTTCTAACAAAAGACATGCATCACATGCTTTTTTAGATAATTCTATAACAGATATATCATCTTCATCCAGTGCTGCTTATTTGGATTTAGCAGGATCACCAAATTTAGATCCAAAACATTCCCCAAGAAAGAGACCATTAAAAACCTCATTAAGTAAAACAAGTGGAATGGGAGTCAATAATACAATAGAGAGAATCAACAAGAATATAAATCCAGTTATGACTAATTCAATAAGTTCAACTGCTATTAGTTTTTACAAAAAAAATTCAATCAATACTACAACTCATCTCATTAGAAATTCTGGCTTCAACTTAAATGAAAATAACGTAGCTGATACAACCAAGGAAAATACTGAAGGATTGCAATACAAAGAGTCAAATAATAATAATATTGGGGGAATTGTATCATCAGCAACTCACTCAAAAGTACCTCCTGACTCTTCAAGATTTTCATGCATGACTTTAGATACATTGATTAGTACACTTGAAACTAACAATCCTACATCACCACTACTGTTTCCAAAATCAACTGCAGAAGAGGCACATGTACGTAGACACATTGAATTACTTTTGGAATTAGAAAAGCGAATCAGAGACCAACAATTGGTATCAGTTAGGATGGTGGAAATTTCACCTTCTAGTGAATGTCAGATAATTGTTATTTCCACACCAAAAAGTCACATTAGGAGTAATGTACAAGGATCTCCAAAGAAATATGATGCCAAAGTATTCTTACGTTTAATTGACTTTGATCGAGAGATCCAACAACCTCAGTTTGAAAGTTTGTTGCATGGTGACCAATCTCAAATTCCTGTAAGAGAACTCATGGTCAATGTTACTTTGTGTCAATCTATCATGGATTTGGGGCAAAAGAACATAAACTTTGGAAATATTGATAAGCATGAACGTCGTAAAAAAACTATTATTATACAAAATAGAAGTGAAATTCCTTTGTTGTATAATATTCGCAAATCTGGATCGATTGCTTCTGGTGACATTGTATTTAGAGTTGGAAAGTCTGGTGTTGTTCGTGGATATGGTAAAAAGGAAGTAGAATTCACTTTTAATCCAAGTCTTGCAGGCCAATTTCATGAAAAACTCATGATTGAAAATGTCCAAGATCGTGATAATAATCAAGTTCTTTCATTAAAAGCAATTGTTCGCAAACAATCAAACTTTACCATTCAACCTTTAAATATAAATTTTGGTGTTTGCTTGATCAATGAAAGTTGTACACAAGTTCAACAAATTACTATCTGCAATACAAATAAACAGTCAAGAATGTTTGAAGTTCGGGTAGATCCGCTTGAACTCAAATTTAGTTGGTTTATTGCAGAGTTGAATTTTTTTGTTCCTGAAGAAAAAGATGGAAATTCTAATGTCACAGGTATAATTAGCAAAGAGATGGAAGAAGAAATAGAAAGTTTGGAACAAAAGGTTAAAATTGCTAGGCGTAAAGGTCACGAAGAAAAGGTTAAAAAGTTAGAGAAAAAACTTGCCAACTTACGAAGAGGAGAAGCAGGCGGAGAGATTATTTATGAAAATGAACCTTTAGATAATGATGATATTAGATCCTTAAATGACTCAAAAGAAGAAAGAATTGGAATATTTCATGATGGCAAATCAACATCTTCTGAAGAAATCCCTGGTATTGATAGTGCAACTATGACTAATAGAAAATTATTTCATGCTGAAAATTTTTTAGAAAAGCAGTATAGTCGAACATCTAATAACAATAGCAATGTTGGTCAAGCGAAAGAAGCAAATAAATATAAGAAAACCTCTTCATCAATTATTTTTTCAATTAATTCAAGGTCATCAAAAACGATTTCTGTTTATTTTCGAGCCATTAGAATCAATGTACAAACTGAATTTGATGACTCATTGGATGCGGATCAAATTTCTCAAGAAATCATTAATGGTCGTATATTTGTTCATGAATATAAAAATACGGATGTTACTAAGCATGTTAATTTCAAAGCTGTAGTTTGTAATGACCATTCTAGTTTTTTGCAAGCTTTGTCAGAAGAAACATTCGATAATAGCAATAATAATAATAATAATGAAAACAAATATGCAGGAACAGTTTTTAACTCAACCAATGAAGCAGTCGATTTAGAATTTCCTGGAAAAGGAAAAGTTACTTCTTCATCATCATTGTCGATGTTACAACAGGGACAATCTCATTTGATTAGCTCTCCTGCTTTGCAAGGGTTTGATACCACTTCAACAGCATTTACCAATATATCACCAGTTATCGAATTGCCTCAATTTCAATTATCTGAACATATTGGGCTAGAAATTCAAAATCTATTATTGGAACCCAAAGTTCTTGATATTGGAAGGCTTGAAATTAATCAAAGTCACAATTATTATTTTAAATTATTTAATAAAAGTGATACCACCCTGAAATATGAAATTATTATACCAGAAAAAGAACAAGGGTTTTTTTTCTTTGAGAAAATCATTGATAGTTTATCACCAAATGACATTCGTCGTGTAGATTTTACTGTGATTGCAAATTCAGTTGGACATCAAGCACATTCATTAATTATTCATAATTGTGTTACCAATTCTGAGCTTAGTTTTACTTTACATGGCTATGTACATTATCCTCGATATTTGAGATTTCCCTCACTTGGTGATGATGGGCAATCTGTTTTAAATTTAGGATACTGTTATGTGGATCCTGGCAGGAAATTTTCGCAAGTAGCACCTTTGATAGTGGAAAATATTACTGAAGATGATGTTTACATAACCTGTCAAAGTAATTTATCATTACAAGTTTCAGTATTTCTTGATGAAAACGGAGAAAAAGGTCAAGTTGTGGAAACTTTACTAAAAAAAAAATCCATGATGACAGTTTGGGTGGCCCTACAACCTAATTTACTTGGCGGTATTCCTACTACTAGTAGAAGGACCTCTTCTATCAATGCCAACAATACAGGAAGTTTGCAATCCGTAACAGGAACTACAAATTTGTCTGATCGAAATGCAATAGCTAATGGTGAATGTCGAGTATTGATTGGTGGAATAAAATTTTCAGTTCAAGTTTTAGAGGGCATCCCTTCAATTTCACCAAGCGCTAATTTTGCGCAGGATATAAAAGGTCAAGAGAACAAAACAGAGTCATATACTGTGATTACTCAAACAGTTAAATTTACTTCTTTAATTGGCCTATCCACACTTTCAGTATCAAAAACTTTAATAAACTTGGGAACTACAAAAAAGTTGGGAGGAATATTTTATGGCTCTTTTGACATTCGTAATGTGTCAAGTCGTCTTCCTTTAGATTATTCAGTTGAATGTTTAAGTGGTAATATAATTCTGGATTGTGCAGGAGGTTCGTTGGAAGGCTGGGAATTAAAAGGCACCTCAGGTGAATCCCCTGACCATGGAGTCAATTCTTTAGCTGAATTTGGACAAATTGCTCAAAACAAGGTCAACACGAATGACAAATCATCAGATATTATTAATTTTAGGGTCATCTCAACAAAATTCGGATTGTTTCGAGATAAAATTATTATAACTAATAAAAATAATACAGGACAAAATGTAGAAGTGGAAGTTCGTTTATTTGTAGATAATGAAGATCTTTGCTTTTTAACAAAAGATAATCAACAATTATTAAAAGGTAATAATAATTTGGAGAGAGCATTATTAGACAAAGAAAATGATAAATTATCATCCATTGAATGGAACAATATTTCAGTAACAATCGCTGGCCCCTCTTCTGAAACACAAAATTTTGACTTGGATGTTTCTAATTGTGAAATGAATTTGAAGGCGATAATTCAAAAAGGTTATCAAGCAAAAACAGTCCCATTATATGAACAATGTATTGAGATATCTAATCAATCAACAACAAAGACCTTAAAGATATTTCCAACTAGTGATTTAGCTGTTCAAGTTCGATGGGCTCCTTTTGGTGAAGTAAAAATAATTGAAATGTTCGATAATGAAGTATCGGATAAAAGTCAAATCCCATTTAAGATTTGTGGCAAATTAATTGAGCTAAAGCCAGGTAATAAGGCCCACCTTTATTTAAGTTGTCCACAGCCTAATTTTTTATCTTCAGAAGAAATAAATACGCTAGCAACAGGGCGTAAGGTTACTGTTAAAGGGACCTTATTTTTGAATGATCAAAACCAAGATATGGTAGTTAAAATGGTCAATTTGATAGCCGCCTTTTGTGTGCCTAAAGGTGAAATTAATATCAACTATATAGATCTTGGAAAAATTGGACTTTCTAATTCTTGGGCTGGCATCAAATTTCAATTCACATTGTGTAATATTTCTGATATTCCTCTAAATTATGAATTGCAAAGCCCCGATTGTATAGAAATTTTAGATGTTATTGATGATAGCTCAACTGAAGTAAACCATAGTGTCGTCTCTTTAAAACATAAGGTAGAACCACACATTGATCAGACAATTACTGCTGTTCTCAAGCCTCATAGAATTGAAAATTATGCTCCAGGCGAACAATTATTTGTTGTAAACATTTTGAATATGTTTAATCCACTTAACATCATGACTTTGAAAGTTAAAGCAACACTTACATCATTTGAGCTTATGTTTGATAGATTGATACAAGGCGATCTTGTACTTCCTATCCTTTATCATCCAATTTCCTTTTCTGATCATCCTTGTGATGAATGGTTTACAATTTTCAATATAACAGACCAAGATATTCGCTTTGAGATTGGTGCCGAGCTAGCGCCTGATATTTCAAGTTTTCTTAAAATTGAAATTCTTTCAAGATTTTCTAATACACCATTAGTCGGAGGAGTTTCAATTTGTGCACATGGCTCAATAGAAGTAAGAGTGCGTGCTTATCCTATTGAAACCAAAAGAATTCCTCGTGAATCATTATATTTAACAAATCAAGACGGTGTTACTTTTGGCAAATTATGGGTTGCTACTAAGCAGGCAAATAATGAAGATGATAAAACACAGAGGATTGAAAAAACTATAACTATACGTGGTGTAATTGCTGAATCTGTTATTTTTACTATTTCACCCAAAAAACTATTTTTTAAAACTGAATGGATTTCTTCAGATAACGAACTTAATAATGAAATTATTAAAGGAACCAATAGATCATTTCCAGGTATTGGAAGCAAGACACAACTATCACAAGATGATTCTTTAGATAGTTACAGTACTGAAGAAGATTTAATTCAGAGAGACCATCTTATTATTACAAACATTTCTAGCAAGCTTCCGCTTTATTTTAAGGTGCAAGTTGAAGGTCCAATGGAGCTTTCTGTGAACGATATTATTAATATATTTCCTTTAGATGAAAATAATTGTGGAGTTGTTGAGGCTAAACAAAAGCTTATATTGGGTATCGAACTTGTTGATACTTCAGCTGTTGTTTCTGAGGATATAAAAATCCACATAATTGATTTAAAATCATTATCTGAACAAAAGAAAACAATTGTTGTTAAAATTGAATCTGATACAAGGGAGCATCGCTCAAAAGTAAAGAAGGAACATTGGGTTGAAGAAGGAGCCGAGACTATATCTGAACAAAATAATGATACAGTTCTTAAACTCTTGGCAAATTCATTGGATAAATCACTTCAACACTTGGACCATTCTCCAAGTTTGCCTTTTATAATTCTACGCGGTTGTAAAAGAATTGGCGAAGTTACTGAAATTGGTGGCAGGTATGAATTGGATCTTGGGCAACAGGATCTAGGTTCACCAACAATAACAAAAAAACTGACCCTTGAAAATTCTACGCACGAAAAAATTTCATATCATATTAAAACTGTCTTTGCAAATGATAAGAATTGGCTTAATATAAGTCGAATTGAAGGCACATTAGAGTCATCAACAGGAGAACATCATCGTCAATATAACAATGTCCACACTATTACACTGAGTTTTTTAACAAATACAAGGAATGTATATTCGACTTATGTGATTATTAAAAATATGAGCAATCCTTCGGATACAAAAACTATACGCGTAATGATGGAGATTGTAGCAAGACAAAATATAAAAAGAGGAGTCAATGTATCATTGGAAAATAATAACGTTTTTGATGTATATGTGAATGGAGTAGATATTAGTCAATCATGGATTGAAATGCTTAATCTTTTTTATGGAACTGAATACACTGCACGTAGCATGGTCATTTATAATAGAGAAAGTGTTCCTTTAGAATTCACGGTAATGATTTATGATTAACTATATTAATTATTATGTACATTTTCTTCTGAGACTTTTCTTTTTTGTAGTTTCAAACAAATCTTGATTATGATGATCCAACAGAAATAGTTTTTTCAACTTCAAGAATGTCTGCAAAGTTGTTCAAAACACTAACAGTTGAGCCTGAAAGTAATGTTAGAGTTTATATCTGTGTAAGACCACTTCCTTCTCAAACAATACAAGAATCACTTCAATGTGGAGAACAAAGAGATACCAATTTGGTCGAAGAAAAAAACATTGAAATTTACGTAAATTGCAGGCTTGTAAAAGATTTCCAAAAAATAATAATGTTAAAGGCTGAGTGTAGGATGCCTTCTTTACAAGTTACTTATTGTGAGATGGAAGCTTTGATGGGTAGGAGGATATTCAAAAATCATTATTAATAGAAAGTGCTATTATTAAAATAATAATAAAAATTATTTATTTTAATTTATTATCCATCAAGGTAAAATTCATCATAATGAATCTGATAACAAAGATGAAGATGAATGGATTATTAATTTTGATCCAGAATATCGTGAAATAACAATTACAAATTTATTAGATTCTCCTTTGGAATATGAAATTGTTAATGATACAATGTATTTTACTTTGGAATTTTCAAATAACAAAAAGAAAGTAGATCCAAAGTCTTCTCACAATGTTATTGTTCGCCCAAATCTAAAGAGTTTAGCTAAAAATATAGAAAGTGTCAGAAGAGTAAGTATTATTAAGTCACAATGTTTATATCAATTGTACTTTTTTTTATTTTTTTTTGCCTCTTTAGGAAAAATATATTCAAGAAAATATGACAGTTTATAATCGAAATAGACCTTCAGAAAATTATTGGATACCGTTAAGAATAAGTTTTGGATATATATCAAACTTTCAGGTTTTTATCTTTAATCTTTAAAAACCTTTGCATGCATGAATGTTCAAAACCAATTAAAAAATCAATTTTAATGTTTTATATATTTAATAGTTGGCATCTGGTTACAAAGTGTCATACGCATTTAGTGTTTTAGAAAATCATACTGTTTGTTTCTTAAGTGATTTTAATAGGAACATACAACTCTTTGATTTATTAAAACAAAAACCTGATGAGGTATGAATGAATTTGAATGGAATTCAAATAGTTTTTAATATTCTTTGGTTTAAATTAAAATAATAATATAATAATAATAGATTGTGAAAAGAAAAATGGTAGATCTAGAGTTTCAGTATTTTTTTATTGTAGATCAGTTAGTATATTATGCCACTATTAAAACTGGCGAAAATTGGTTTCAACTTGCTGGTTTACTTTTCGGGTTCGTATATTTGTATAAATCTTTTTTTATTTATTTGTCAATCCCTTATGCATATTAACAATATTAAATATCATCAGGACAATATTAAGTAATAATATTTTCCAGAAGCATGGGCCTTTATACCTTAAAAGATCACATGCTAACCATACATCAAATAATGAACAAGGAGTATGGTCACCAGAATTAGCAAAATGGGTATGTAATAAATAACGATTGATTTTTTTAATTGTAATTTATTAATTTATTTAAAAAATTTTTTTTTCAAATAGGTTGCAGCATTAAATTATTTTATATCATTTTTTCCATATCGAAATCCAATGCTTGAGACTTTAAAGGAACTTCATAAAAATATGATAATAATTCCACCATCTGCAATTTCAAATTGATTGATTATTATTTTTTGTAATAGTGTTTATTTTTAAAACAATTAGAATTTTATTTATTCATGTATATAGAGTTTTACATATTAATTATTTTTTTTTATTTTTTATTCATACAATAATAAAATTACATCCAATAATTTTTATTTATTAGACAATACAAAAAAATTGACACTGTTTGAAGAAATATGAAAAGAAAAATAAACTGAGGAATTAAAGCCTGAGCTACATTTATGTAGTTTATTTTTCTTTTATAAAATTTTATGAGGTCTATAACGAGTAAACCTTATTACAACTAAATCAGGAGGATCCAAATCCTCCCTATAGCTAATTGTGGCTTCATAGAAAGTCATCATTGCTGCTGCTGCCACCAGCTAGACATATCCTGCCACAGTTAAAATGGCAGCAGAGAGGTCAGTAAGTCCCCCTTATAAATGGATCAGGTCTCTCTCCATAAGTGTTTGTGTGCAAAAAAATGTTCCTTATGTTACAGGCAGCATTAACATCTCGATTCCAATGTGTCAGACAGACTGATTTGCAGACTCTGACAGACCAGAATTTTTTGATGCTTATCAAACCACCCACCACACAAAGAATAGACTGAGGAAGTACAGAATTCACCACCTTGCAGTGTCTAGAAAACTCTCGGCGAAATTCTTTTACAGGGTTAGAGCATGCCCACATGATGTTGATGAGAATTTACCATCACCAAATGCAACAACTGTACTGTCACCATTACTATTTGTTATTCTCTTGCACAGAATATCAAAGGCATTCTGCTTATTAATAAAAGATTTCCATCAATCCTGACACAATTTATGATACAAGTTTATAATAATAATAAACCTATCTTTAACAATGAAATAATAAAAGCGCTAGTCTTCATACTAATCCCGTGTATAATTATTTTCCCTTATTTATATTTTTATTTTTTTTAATTTTTTTATGGATTTATTTAGGGCCTTTGTTTAATATTAATGATAGTTTTGAAAATAAAGCATAATAATACATATTCGCGGAAATTATTATTAAACAAACACCTGAAATCTTTGGTAACACCAATGTTCACTTTGTCTGATTTTGTTGCAGCATGTTCCATATAGTTTAGGCAATTTTATAATTTTACCATTGTTGTTGGGTTGGATCTACTCCTGTTGGATTATGTGCACAGGCATGTAACAAAAAGGTTGAGTTTTTTGTGCGTACTAATCATACATGTTATTATTATTAGTAGTAATAATTAAATAATCAACAAAAAACAATAAAGAAACATATTATTATTGATTAATTAATTAATACCTAGCAATCCATTAAAATCAAATCTATTTCTAAACTGGAATCTTTAAATACAGCATTATGATTGCCCCATGTTGGTTTAGGTGAATAGATTTTTTTAACATATGGATAATATCTAGATAAAAACACTCCTCTAATTTTAAGAGCTCCTCCTGTTCCTGAAATTGATTGAGTGATTGAAATCTATAAAGAAAATGCGTTTTAGTTAATTATACTTATTAAAAAGAAACCTTTTATTAGCAAAAGTTCATCAGCTTACTAATCCATTTTTAAAGGTTCAGAATCTTTACTGTAAGCCAAAAGAGCTGCACCTTTAGTAAACTAGAAAGACTGGTAATATGAAGATATCCTTATCAAGTAATTTTTTTCTCCTTTAAAATAATAAATAATAAATCAATTTTTTTTTACATGTTAATTTCATCAATGGAGATTAAATATTTTAATTTAATTTAATTGAACCTTTCTGACAGAATTCAAAACATATGGTCATCTCTATTGGCACCAACTCCCAAATTCATGTTTTTGGGATTGGTATCTTTTTTATAAGCCTAAAATTGCATCAGGTGGATCTTTTTGATTTTGTAATAAAATGATAACAATACATATATCAAATTTAATAAAAAATTTTATAAACCAAATTTAACCTTGAAGAATATGAGGCCAACTAGTAATAAAAGCACAATATTGTTGCAACCATTAAATAAAAAAGACCATGTGAAAAATTGTCAGAAAACATTTTTTTTTGTAAAATTACAAATAACTCTATTTTTTTAAAAATTGGATTTTTATTTATTAGTAAATGTTGCAAGCTTTTATTAATGACAATAAATAGTTTATTATTTATATAGCATCTTTTATATATAAATAAATATATATACACAGTTAATATTAAATTAATAATTAATTAAAATATAAAATCAATGTTTAAAAAAATAGGATTTTACCAGTTAATATTTTGTTTAATTTTGAAAATTTTGATGCAACTGATAAATCAATTGTTTTATCATCTCCAAATTCAATAATCAAACCACCAAGAATTGAAGGGTTAACCTAATAAGTAATTAAACAATTAACAATTAATAATTTAACAAGAATATTAAATATTATTAAATAAACCTTACTTTATTTTTAACGATTAATTTTTGATTGGGATTAACAAATTTACTTTTAGCAAGTTGAGTTTTTAATTGATTTAAAATTTTGGATTCAATTTCCTAATAAAAATAAAAAGTCAATTAATTAATCAATTAAATTATAAATTATAATTAAATTTTGTAATTAAAAAAAACCAATACTTTTGCAGTAATTATATTAACAGGAACCTCTCCTCTATGAGCAGTCATTATTAAATTAAATGCTTCGATAATTTTGGATGTTTCATTGAGCCTATTATTTTCTGCTAAAACTTTAAAAAAATTTATTGTAACATCAGAATATTTCTGGTGACTTAAAACCTTTTGGATTCCTTGTTCTTTTTTATTTTTACTCAAAGATGGATCCCCCAAAAAATTATTAATATTTTGATCTTTCTCAATTAAATCCTTAATATGATGAAGCTCTTTTTCAACATCATTAAGATGGTTTTTTTTTAATGCTGCTGTATATAAAGCTGTAGCATATCTCCCATCAATACCATAAAGAATTAATGGAACCTAGTTCAAAAAAAAAGAATTCAATTATTACTCCATGAATAATATTTAATAAAAAAAAATTATATCTACCTTGATAGGATTTGAACTTGCGGGGGAAGCAAATCCTCTGGCAAACTACAAAGCAAACATAATTAATCATTGCATATTAAATTATTTCTATGAAGGAATGTTACTCTATATATATACTTTTGAAGTTGATAAAAGTCTTCTTTGTAACAAACTTGACGAAATGAGTGAGGCCATAATAAACCAACAAAAAAAAATTTTAATTTAAAAATCAGTCCAACATAGAATTTCTAAGCATGGTGGACATTCGTATAATTGGTAATGATTTTCGTCGATCATATCATACAAAAATTTTAGTTCTATAAAAAAATGGGGCAAACGTTACACGAATAAAATTATTATCGTCCACTTCAAAAAAAAAATCTCCATTTTTCATATAACAAGCGATTTTCAACCATGATAAAAATTTTAGAGCCAGACTAGAACTTTCTAACAACAGTTAAAAGAAAAGGTTAGCTTAAATATTGGTTATTCTATGCTAGGTCAGAAGCGTTTCTTTTCTTCACACTTATTTTAAGATTTTCTTCCAACTAGTATGCAGACTAAAACAAATTCAGCGGCAACAATTGAGCCAAATTGTTCCCTACAAAGTCACTTATAACTACTTGAAAGGTTGTGTTAGAAAAAATATGACTTTAATTATAAGAGACTGATTTATAATTATTTATAGGTTATTAATTTAGGGAGTTGTTATTCGCACCCCTCTCGTGACTAAGTGTATTAATGTGACCAATGAATGGCTTTAAATGTGATGATTTTATTGGTTCATCTTTGTCTTAGTCACGGGAGGGTGCGAATAACAATTCTCTTAATTTATTATAATATTAATGAAATGAAACTATCATGGCAACACTATAATAGAAATGCTTAAAAGTTAAGTAGCCTATTACTAGCTTGTATATAAAAACAAATCTTGGTTTTTTACAAGTACAATCTGTGCTTATTATTAATATTATTTATTAATATATTGTTACGCGATCATCTAGATCTTATATACATCGGAATTAATGAGAATGAATATAACAAACAAACCTTGGTTTTTACAAGTATAATCTATGCTTATTATTAATATTATTTATTAATATATTGTTACGTGATCATCTAGATCTTATATACATCGGAATTAATAATCTGTGCTTATGATTAATATATAAAATTGTTACACAATCATCTAGATCTTATATACATCGGAATTAATAAGAGTGAATATAACAAACAAACCTAGTATAATCTGTACTTATTAAATATGTAAATAAAAGCCCTTATAAATTGTTATACTTGATGAATGTTTTATCAATTATTCATAGCTATATAGCAGTTGATTGAAGTGTTAAAAGCAAGATCTATGAAGCTTCCAAAGTGATATATTACGTATATATGTACAGTACCTGGACAAAAGTTTCAGAACACTTGTTTTTGTTAATTGCGCAAAAATGTAAATAATAAACATAAATGAAATTTATATTATTGTGGTTTAGGTTCTTGTAAATATCTATGCAAAATTCCATGCATCTAGGTTCCGTAGAACTCGAATAAATATATAAAAATGAAATTCGATTAAAAATTTTTCTTTGATGATCACTAAATTTCTGATGTGAAATATTTTATTTTATTACTCAAATTCTATGTAATAATTTCAATTTAAAATTTTAACTACTTTTAATATTTAGTTGGGTATCCTTTGCTCTTTATACAAGCCTGAATTCTTCTAGGCATGCTTTCAATCAAATTCATTAAAACATTTTGAGGAATTTTATTCCATTTCTCTTTTAAAGCAGTCTCAAGTTCTTTAAGATTTCTTAGATTGTTAGGATGACTTCTAATACATGTTTTTAGCACATGCCAAAGATGCTCAATAGGGTTTATATCTGGAGATTGGCTTGGCCAATTTTTCAATATTTTAATTTTGTTTGTTTTCAACCACTCTTGAACATCTTTAGCAGTATGAACAGGAGCATTATCATCTTGAAATGAATACCCACGCCCATTAAA